AATCAGAAACAACAACTTTCTGCCATTTCTGTCAATATTAGATGTGGAAATGACAAGAAGTGGCCATCACATGATTTGTTAGTTTCAGTGACTGGCATTCATTGATTAAGATATCAGTGGGAGAGATGAAGTAGGAATCATCAGTTCTGAACACAATGATTTCAATTGAAAAGGGGCTTTTTCATATCATTGAATAGGCAAAAATTTAATAAAAAATTATGACATTAGAATTTAGCATGCACTTTCCTGCCTTTTTCAATTGCAATCAAAGTTGTCAGCCTAATGACTCAACAACTTAAATGTCATGAAACAGTAAACATCACACTCTTGAGCACCAAACTTTTCAAATTCCTGTCATTTGTTTGGATGGGTAAAACTCTTTTTTGGCAATGAAAGTGTGATCAACAAACTGTTTACATGCCAACCGGTCCTGACTGCTGCTGTAACGTAAACCAGACCTGGGCGATTTTGTGAAATAAACAACACACATGTTACAAAAAAAGAATTTATTAAACATAGAAAACACAAACAAAATATTGCAGTAAAACTCCATCAACAGTATGACTGTTATGCCAATCAACATTAAGCATTAAAAACAATAGCCTGTAGCAAACATCCACAAGGGACTCTGAATAGAGTTTATCATCACAAATTGTTCTGGAAGTTCATAATCACACAGTGTCCTTTCACAGTTCATCATCACCAATAAAAGTGTCCTTTCACACTCTGTTATCTCAAATAAAAAGTGTCCTTTCGTAGTTCATAATTACAAAGTGTCCTATCAAGGTTCATATCACATTCCTTTTACACACATTTGACAAAGCTGTCCAGGGTGAGCTGTGAAGTGCACTTGGTGACCTCATTTTGGAACTGCTGCTGGGTGGCCATTAGGAGATCAAGGGTCTGACTGTCATATTTCTGCAGAAAATGGACCCAAAGGACAGCAAACATGTCCTGGGCCTCCCCGTCTGTTATCTGCCTGGAGGGAACAGGTTCGGCTTCATAGTTGCTGGCAGGCTCTAGCTCAGTAGGTGCTGCAGTGGCCTTCTGGATGAGGCAGCTCTTCCATCCATCACCCAGGGTATCATGGGCTGGGCAGCTGCCATACACAGCCGTGTACTTCTCAGCTGACATTAGCTCTCATAGGCTCAGGGCAGAGGAGCTCATGCCTGTCCTCTTGAAATGCTTATGCACAGTGGTGACTTTGACATCACAGAAGGCAGCCTGGAGCTAGGTCACAGCAAGGTGCATATCAATGGACTTGCAGATGTCCTGGGGTCAGGGTCGGTGCCTTGGTGATGACATGCTGCAAGTGGTGACAGTAGTAATGCAGCTTCATAGCCTGGATGATGCCCTGGTTAATGGCAGGAGGTGGCATTAGCATGGAAGGTAAATAAGCTTGACATTGCTGAGCTGCAGGTCATGGGGTTGGGATGAGGCATTGTACAGCAGGAGGATGACTTGGCAGCCTTGGATAGATATGTGGTGGTCATCCAGGCTTTCTTGTTGGTGAGCTAGATGACAGAGAGCCTACGGGTGTTGAGGTTCTAGAAACGGGGGCAGATGGACTTGCCGACGACCAGGAGTTTCTCAAGCTTGCCAAGATGGCTGGCACATAGATCTGCCATCAGACTCTCCTTGCTTTTCTTCCCACCAGACTTGTCATTTCCTTTGACAGGGCAAGATAGAAGACACCAATCTCGTCCATGTTGAAAATGTCTGTGGGGTCACATCCTTCCAAGATGGTAGGGAGGCACTCATGCCAGTTGTTAATGGTCTCTTGGCTCACTATGGACTTCTCATTGCTGATCTTTTTGCCCCCCAATAATGTGTCAACTTTTGAATTGGGACAGCCAACCTCCTGATGTCTTTAAGTTGGACTGGTTCAGGGCTTTGGCGACATCCAGGGCCTTGGTCTGGATCATTGGGCCTGACACTGGGATGTTGAGGGACCATATCATGGAGAACCACTCAAAGACGATGGTGTCATTTTGCATGTAGATGGGGTTCTGGAACTGGTGCTTCCTGTCAGGGTTGGCCTTATTCTTGTATGCCTCTATCAGTTCTGCTTCAGGATGCAGCTAACCTGAAAAACACAAATCAGTGAACTTGAAATTTTTACATGTCACCTGAGTTCTGCCAATCTTGAATTCTTGTGCCAGGGTACTGTGACTCTTCCCTTCACTCTTGTGGATGAGTTGGACTTCCTCATGGAGAGTTATCTCCTTCCTCTTAGGGGAGGGGGCTACCAGGCATGGATAATCCATGTAACAGTTACAGTGTGTGTCAAAGCAACACAAAAGTCCCAGAGGAGAATGAGGATCCAATATAATCACAGTCCAAAAATGACTGAACAACAGTAATCACATTGGTAAATGTGTGCACAGAATGGCATAACAGAGACAATTGATGTAGCCAAGAAAGCAGAGCTCTATTTATTGAAATATGAAGGGAAAGGTGACAAAACTTGAATGTGGGAATCTTCCCCATTGAACAAATCTTTTGTTCACAAGAAGACCAAAGAGACCAAAGAAGTGTTACAAATGAAAAGCTTAGAGTGTGAAAACGTGCTGTTTGTTTGATCATGTGATCATCAATGCAGCATGAGGTGTGAAGCATCAAGTAGGATTAGCGTGCCATTAATATGGAACAACAGTGGTCACCTGGTTTGTAATACCTACAAGATGTAGCCGCTATAAGTCAATGTACGGTAGTGGCCTCACTTTGATTGACATGTCTCAATTTGGCAGTAGCAGGTGAGAGATGGCCTAGGTGGCCACAACACTGAGTACAAAGAGACTGCTTGAGAGTGGGAAACAGGTGTTCACAAGCCAAGTTGACCTCAGTATGAGTGCCCATAATAGCAGGTGTTCTACAAATATAAAATAGAAGGAAATATTTGGAACTGAGCTAAAATTGCTGTACTTAAGGGTTGACTGCTATATTGCATTGACCGGTATCAGGTTTGGACTGCATTTCATTTTAAGTTTTTCTGCAGATATTAAAATTATATTATCAGAATATTATAAAAGCAACTATTATTATGTCAAAAAACCTTGTCTATGGTTTCTATGCTTCTCTTAATTTATTTTCTTTAAAAGCTGTATGCATTTACCTCTGATTGTGCTTTCATATCTAAAACATAAGCTGTGAGAGAAGGTAGCCATTTTTGCACCTGTTATGTACCTTCCCTGACTATTTTTTTATTCTCATGCAGAGGAATGGCTTTTATCTCTTGTCTGGGTTATTCGTTTTTATTTTGTACATATATGGATCTTGCTCCAGCTACTTTATGTTATTGGTTTGTGTAATTGATCTATCTTGTTTGCTGGGATGTAAAACTGAATTTTAGGTTACATCTCACCAAAGTTCACCATTCAGCAAGGTTTTTGGCATTCAGTACCCTTTAGTGGATATTTTGCTAACAAGAATGTGGACAAGTTCCAGTACATTTTTCTAATTTTATTTATATAATTTGTTTTTAACTGTGATTCTTTAAACTAGATGGAATCCCTAGTAAGTGAAATATTCTCTGCTTCCTGCTTAGTTAACACTTTGGCTCACACCTCTATTATGCATGGTAATCCAGGTATTGCTTTACAGCCCAGTACCACATTTGGGGCTGTGTTCCAAGAGTTCACAAGACTATACTCGTTTTAATCAATTATTTTGAGTTCTTCAACAATATTTACATTGAGAGATATGGTATTTTGATCTTTTATGTTGTATTTATGATTTGTGTAAAACTATTAATGGAATTACATTTAAAAATACATTGTCTGCTAAGTTCAATACAGTTTTTAGTGTTATTAATATTGGTATTGCTATTTTTTATTGCATTTTCTCTTTTCAGTGATATTGGCAAAATCATTAATATTGGTCAGTCTAATCCAACCCAAGCATGGTGGGAATTTAGGTTAAAATGTATTTCATACCCTGATGGGCAATGAAATATAATCAGGGGCAGTCAGAAACTTCTGCTTATCTTCACCCCACTATGAGATTTGAGATTAAGTGCCACATAATTCTGAGAAAGGAATTTTGATGTTAATCTAGCTAGTAAGATTGCCATCAGGAGAAGCTGTGAGGAGATCTGGAAATAAGACAAAGGAAAGAGAGTTTCTTGAGACGTGGCCCACTAGAACATGGAGAGGTATCTGTTGATGAAGCACATGCTTTTGTTGATACACATGGCTTTTGTTTACTCGTAGTGGTGGCGTCAGTTGGTATGAGCTTTCGTAGAGGAGAGCAGAGAGATGCAGACCGAGGATGTCCTTTTCTGTTTAAAATACTGAAAATTTAGTGTAGAATTGGGATTTAAATTCAATTTTGGTCAGCTTTTCTTTGGAACCTTTTGTAACATTATGCTGAACAGGGAATGTTTCATTGTTCTCTCTTTTTTAAATTTGATTTGATTTGTTAATACTCTGCTGGTGTTATTTACGGCATAAGTTCTTTTTTCTCCCCCTTACAAAAAAGTCTGTAGCTATTCTGTAGGAAAAGCAAATACCTATTCTGTAGCTATAGCTGTGGGATGTGTAAAGTTTTCTTGGACCAATGGCTGTGACATTTATTCAGCCATTATATAGAAGTGCTATGGCTCTTCTACAGTTAATCTATAGCCTTTCTATATTTAAGCTGTAGCCATACTATAGCCCTTCCTTAGGTATTTGAAGAATTTTACTCAGTTGTATTATAACTGTTCAATATATTCAAACAAAAAATCTTCGAAATTAGGTTTTGATCCACTACAAAAAAGTCAGTGTATCTATAATTTGAATTTATGTGTCTTAATAATTTTGTACAATTACCAATCAAATTAGTTACTGCAGATAAAACTTGATAATATAAACCAGTTTAATAATAATGAGATGAAATTTGTTATTATGACCAAGTGATTTGTTTCTTTTAAAACTATGTTTTCAATAGGATTTTACTGGGTTTTTACTTTAAAGTAATAAAACAACAAATAATACTTATTTCAGTTTTTATAATTACAGTGATGCTAAAGAAGAACCAGTAATTGCTGAACCACAAATACAGGGTGGAATTGAGATTGACAAATCTTGCCAGTTTCTGGTCTTGATGTCAGTTGGAGTTTATAAATCTATTGAAGAAGCTACAGGTACTTCACAGGTAAAGGTTTCAGTTTTAGACATTTTTGTTTCAAAGTTTGGTTTATTTACTATCTTGGTTTACACCTTCTCAAGGATAAGGCAATTCACTAACTTCTGAAAAATAATGTAAGATGTGGAAAAGTAGAAGTAGAAAAGAAAGGTTCATTGTACGCATTATGTACCAAAAAAATTAATTTGTTTATTTATTGTTTTTTACAATGTTTCAAGCTATGCCCATATCAGGTTTCACAGTTGGATATAAATTTACAGTTTTGAAGAACTAGGTTATTTTGGATAAGAAAAAAAAGGAAAAGAATTGAATGAATAAAAAAAAAGATGAAACAAAAAGTATTAACATATTAAAATTCAGTATAATCCTACCGAGACAGGTCTGATGGGTTTTCCCATGGTCACTGGTCAATGGCCATGTCATTGCATTTGCAGACTTACATTCAAAATTTTATTGAACTACTATTTTATGAATTTATGTTGATAAGTTTGATATCAAATTGTATATTATAATTCAAATACTAGTATTATACACTAGTTAATTTCTTAATTTAAAAGTAAATATTTTTTAAAAATCCTAAATATAGATTTTTGTCTGTCACGTAGTATGTTGAATGCAGCATTGGTTCAGATTAGATGTTTATGATGTCCAAATACAAAAATCTATTATTTTTTACAAATTAGGAACTCATATTGCTGATATTGACAAGCTAGAGTATAAAATAAGAGCCTCCTATCTTTTATATTTGCTGAGATATCGCTAGATTTAATGAATCAAACACAGTGGCCCCACCCACCTCTTTCCATTTTAGGAAATGCTTACATACACCTAATTCTGTCTATGGCATGTGAATAACCAATCAAAAGCTTAGTTCAGCAAACAGCTAATATTTTGTGTGTCCCCATTTTGCTTTAGTAACTGCAGACAGTCTTTCAGGCATTGTTGCAAAATATTTAATTAAAGTGTCCTTTGAGATTTTACTCCAAATGTCTCTAATACAGCCCCATAACATTTCTTTGGAAGTTACTTTTGATTTGTCAAGTTTTTGAACTATTAAATCCCAGATCTGCTCAATTGGGTTGAGATCGGGGCTCTGTGGGGGACAATGCATTATTTATATGACTCCAGCAGCTTTTTCTTAACTAAGTAATTTCTGCATAGGTTGGATGAGTGTTTGGGGTCATTATCTTCTTGATAGTAGAATCCTTTACCAATAATACACAAACCACTGGGTATACCATGACGGATCAGTTTCTGATGGTACTGGTGCTGGTCTATTAATCCATCTATTTTGCAAATATCTCCTGTTTGCCTTAGTAGAAAAACACCCCCAAACCATCATACTTCCTCCCCTGTGCTTCATAGTAGGTGCTATGCATTGGGGTAAGTATTTTTAACATTTCTTCTACTGGATGTACAACCTACGTTTTGAACCTAATATTTCAAACTTGGATTCATCCATCCATAACACCCTTTTCCAATCATCAAGAATCCAGTTTTGTATTTTTTAGCAAATTTCAGTCTCTTGACAATATTTGGAGAATGAAGTAAAGGTCGTTTATCTCCTGCTTGTGATCAGTGGCAGTCTTCCTTCTATCCAGAATGCTGCATAAACGAAGATACTTAACATCAGTATCATTGATTTTAGGTGTTCTGCCTCTTCCTTTCCTATTTTCAAATTTACCTGTCTTGGTCTCATGATCTAGGGTGTACTTGACAGTGTTTGGGGAGCATTTCAAGTCTTTAGCAATTTGTCAGAGAGCCCAACCAGCATCACATAAAGCATTTATGTGTTTGCTTTGCTATACTGACAATTGGGCTGTGGCATGACAACAAAACGTAATGTATAGGTTTATTTGTAGAGTGCTATTAAATTTATTTCTTCTAGCATATACCGGTACCATATGCTAGTTCCTTGCTAACTTCTTTCTATATAGTTAAAACACTGCATGGGGTACCATGACAGTTATTTCAGACCCTAAGTTTGATCAATACGTTCATTCAAACATAACGCTTATGACATGCCGTTGGTACAGGTACATGGAAATTCTAAAGAATGATAAGTATTATCACCCTGGCTCATTCAGTTGTCAACAGGGATCAGTAAAGCATTACCAAAGTGTTGAAATTTACATTCTGTAATGGTACAAAGAATTAACTGCATAAAATGGAAAGAATGACAAAATATTCTCTTGTCCTAACACTTTTGCACAGTGCTGTTCATGACATTTTGCAGATTATCAGTAAACATTACAAGGCATTCGTGCACTGTCTATCAGATTTTTTAATTAAGTTTCAACATTTTTAATTAATTAATTGATCATTAATTTTTTATTTTCGAACATTGGTTATCCAACATGCTAAGTAATTTTCATTTTAAAAGTTGATTAAAAATACTTTTAAGCATTAGAAAATTGTCAAATTTCACATGCGAAATCTCAATAACCTCCTAACATCCTTTAAATAACTATCAAACTTTTTTGTGAAAAAACCTTACATTTTTATCTGTTATTTTCACTATTGTATCTTTGTGTGGGTTTGGTCGATTCTACCGACCTCATAACCACCATAAAAAGGGGGGTGGGAATAGATATAAATTCATATATAAAGATTTAATATTTTTATTTTATTGACCTTTCAACGGTGTCTAACTAATGTTACAGAAGATGAATGACACAATGCACATTCACTCACTTACCATATCCAATAATACAAAACTGGCCTTTACAAAGTGACCTGTCTTGGGTGTGTTCTAGTGGACCAGTATTTTGTAAAATACAATCACATTTTGGTTATAATACATTATATATACATTAGTACTATTTATAAACACGTTTTTAAATTTCAGTTATTTTACTTAGAACAGTAAATAAAGGAGTATAGAAAACAATTATCTCTTCTACTAGCTATAAACTTTGTACTCATTTGCGGCTTGTCGTAATTTGTTAAGCCTTAATCAAAACAATTTTTTGGGGTTTTATATATCCATTTTGAAATAAAAAAAAACATAAATTACTATGTAAATACCACTGAATTGCACTATAATTTATCAGATTTAGTAGCTAAGCCTTATTTGGGTCTAAAAAAATATAATTGTTTGAGCTTAATAATATCTTACCTTACCACTTGGAATCTACCATGAAAAGAAATGGTTCCCCCGTAAATATTTTGCAGAGGCTCAGACAACCACATGGGGGACATTTTGAACTTTCAATTAGTTATTCACATGTCATAGACAGGAGTAGGTGTACATAAGCGTTTCCAAAAATGAAAAGAGGTGGGCAGGGCCATTGTGTGTTTGATTCACTAAATCTAGCAATATCTTAGCAAACAGAAAAGATGGAAGGTTCTTATTTTGTACTCTAGCTCGCCAATATTGATAATTTGTGTTTCTAAATTATAAGAAATTATAGATTTTTGTATTTGGACATCATAAACATCTAATCTGAACTAATGCTGCATTCAACATACTACATGACACACAAAAATTAATATTTAGGATGTGTTTTTAATATTTACTTTTAAATTAAGAAATTAACTAATGTATAACACTAAAATTTGAATTATAATCTACAATTTGATACCAAACTTATTGATATGCATTCATAAAATACTAGTTCAATAAAATTTTGAATGTAAGTCTACAAATGTGATGACATGGCCTTTGACCCATGAATTCAGGAAGACCTATCAGACCTGTCTTGGTAGGGTTAAATGAGTGATTTGTAAGGATAAGGGGAATTCTGTGTGATTTATCATTGGGGCAAGCACATATGGTGAATTTAGTGTGTTGATGTTAAAATTGTTGTTGAGGTAGTTCTGTTCCTTTGTGAAATCAGTCATTTCATCAGTTTTAAAATGCAGTGGTTCTAAATGTATGTCTTGAAGTGTCTTTATTGATGCTTGAAAACTATGAACTCTTGTTTGAAAATAAGAAAGTCATTTAAACAATGGTTGATAAGTTTGGATATAATAGAGTATTAAAGTCCCTCCTTGCTTCTAGTGAAAATAACAGTAACATTGTTAATAAATTTGATGGAGAAATCAAGAAGTTATGGATAAAAGAATGTGTATTTGTTCATCTCCCCCAAATCAACCCCTTGTAACTGTTTATATGTGATGGGAGCCCATGAAACTCAAAAGCATCTAAAATCAGCTACTTGTAGTATATCAGTGGAGGGTATAGGAAATTTCTTTTGATGAAGAAATACTTGAATTCATTTATTTCATCATTATGTGCTATAATAGTACAAGAACTCTATATCATTAGTAAAAATATAGTTCAGAAATGCTACTCACCTTCCAAAAGAACTGAGAGCTCTTACCTCATGCCAACACCTAAAAGGTTTTTGTGCATGCACCAATCCTTGAACGAGACTCCCATCCCTGCATGTATTAATATATACTGTGCCACCTTATGATGCCATAAGCATTAGATTATAAACCCACCACCAATATGAAAGTGATGCAGCCTCCATACACATTAGTTCCTTTGAGTACATTGTGTGTTACCACTAGCTCATTCTTTCTTTGGCACTGTTTGGCTTCATATATTTTTTGAAAAGAAATATAGAACTTTTGCACTTATTATTTGAAAGTTATATTTGTCATTTGTAGTTTAATTTGTCTTACTTTTATTTTCTTGATTTGAGAAAGGTACCAAATTTTATTAATTTAAGTTAGATCTTCTGATTTGAATTATATTTATTTTATTTCCTAACTATATCAAATCACAAAATTTTAGGATTCTGTGATATGGTTTCTTTGTCAGTACTATTCCCCATCACTACTAATCCAGTATTCAGGTTTCATTACTTCATCTACAGTTTTGTCATTATTACAGTGGCCAAGGTGTATGTACCATGGACATATCAGACCAACTTGGATTGGCTTGATTATGAACTTGTGCATCCATGTTACTGTTCTCAGGTGGCTAGTTCCATTCTAGTCTCAGATCCAGGATTTTTGACCTCCTGCTTGTTTTGCTTCAGCTGAGCCTGCCTCATCCT